TGGGGATAAGAATCAAAGAATGAAAGAGCATAGAACACAGAAGCCAGTTTCCCTCTTAAAGTCCAGTATGCTGTGCAGAGAATGCTACTCAAACTAAGGAGATGCAGACAGTTGAGAGAAGAGTTCTGACTTGTTGTAATAACAATAGTAGATACGGTGAGCAAGTAAATTGAAACTTCTGTACAGCAAACTTTGTGATTGGTTTGATATTGCCCTAAACCATTGGTGTAGTTTCTCCAAGGATACTATTTATAGTTCATTAAGTAAGATTTTGATGAGTAATTGTATTAAAATTGGAGCATCAGGTCCTTGATCAAGGCTGTAAGGCCTTATGCTATCTTTGTCTCTATGAGAAAACCAGCTGTGATTTATAACACCGACAACATTGTGCTCCCGAGGGTTTTCAATGGGTGATTTCTCAGAAGTCGATCACCCGGCTTTTCGTCCTCGGCACTTCTAGGTCAACTTGAATCACTGACCTTTCAGTTCGTGGCTAAGCACATTCGCCTTTGATACCACCCAGGGGCTCCTTTCAAGATAGATGCATATTCTGCGGGGGTAGAACTCGCCATGTGGAGTAAACTGACTCAAACCTTGGGAGTCTTATAAAATTTTATGTTTGTTTGTTTGTTTTCCCCGTGGAGGGGAGGTGGCAGCGGGAGACTGGGGCCATAGTGGTAGGAATAATGGGGGGCTGTCCCCCAGCTCCCTCCCTCCCTCCTTCCCTGCCTGCTGTCTCTCTCCGAGAGCTGGGGCTGCTGCTGCCACTATCCACTCCAACCCCTCCCCACCCTCTAAAATGTCATGTATTTTTCACTTTTGTTGTTGTTGAGACTATCCTCAGCAAACATATCAATTTCTACACCTGTTCTTTAGAGACACTAACCTGCTTCGATTCTCTTCTTTCTGAGATGTTCCTTCCTCATTAGCAGGCTCTCTGCCCCAGGAGGTTCCTATCTAATTTTTTGATTTGCTGCTGTCCATTTGATCTTGTAAGAATAATTTTTAAATAATATAATGCTCAAGGCAGACTTTTTTTTTTTTTTAACTCGTTAAGCTAAACTACTATTTGGCTGCAGAAGAATCAGTGCATTTGAATCGTGGTGCTAGAGGAGAATCTTGAAAGTACCATGGACTGCTAAAAGACAGTACCATGGACTGTCTTGGAAGAAGGACAGTGAGAATGTTCCTTGGAGACAAGGATGGCGAGACTTGTCCTACATCCTTTGGACATGCTGTCAAGAGAAACCAGTCTCTGGAGAAGGACATCATGCATGGGAACTACATGGGGCAGCAAAAAGAGGAAGGCCCTCAATGAGACAGAGTGACACAGAGGCTGCAACAAGGGCTCCTGTAGTGACACCTTGTCTTGTCCACCCTGGGGGGTGGGGGGGGGAGGAGAGGAGGATTGCTTGGGTGCAATGACTGCATAAACCCAGTGTGACTGCTTGCATGTTTCAGGAACTTGGTGCAAATGCCAAGTGATAAGAGGCTTCCTTGCTGCACACAGCACAATCTCTTGCAGGTCCGAACGTGCTTGTGTGGGAGAATGTTTGCTAATGATGAATCATGAAAACTTCTTGAGGCGGAAGTCATTGTGCCCTAGAAGAGTCGCTGCATTTGAATGTTTGTAAACTTTCTCCTTTGTCTTGCACATAAAAACCAGTGAGCAGAGAAGCTCAGGGGCTCTTTGCTGTGAGGAACTCTCCCTCTCCCTCCTGACTCAATCTCGTGTCTTGAGCAGCTGCTGTTCCCTGCATCTCAGTAGCTCCGAGCGGACTGGAGTGCTCCAGGCTCAGGCGTAGGAATGATTGTGAGGATGGCGCAGCACCGCGCAGTGTTTCTTCTGTCATACATAGGGCGCTGTGGGTCCGAACCAGTTTGATGGCAAACAACAAGATTTGGGCTTTAAGAAGACATCAGGGGATATTTTTGGTTCAAGGTTTAAAGACGATTCCAGGGACACAGTTTCAGGAGTTCATCCAGCCTCAGTGGCTTCTGAAATCTGAGAGTATAAGAAACTTTGGCATTCATGTTTCCTGACTGGCTTCACTGCATGTCCCTGAACACACAGCCCCTGAGCATCTGTGATATCACAGATGAAATCCTTTATCTCATAAAGTTTATACTCTACTTGGGGAAAAAACCATGTAACAGGCACAAATGACATGGGGGCAATTAGGACATGTGCTGTCATAAGGTCCCAAGGACGCGGGAACCATGGACATGTGAATGAAATTCTCACCTATGAGGAAGATGGCAAAACTGGGAGAACGGCCAGAACGAAAGCTGAAGGAGACTGAAATTGTGGAGAATGGCAGGTTGGAGCAGTTTTGTACTTTTGATCTAGTGTCCATCTAAATGGAAATAAGGTATTTCCACAGCTAGATTAACTATGTGGGAGTTGACTATGTCTGCCCCAACAGCACTGTAATTAGCATTGTAATCATTGGCAATGCTGTTCTACGAGTTCAGTTATTTCTAAGCTAGAAAAAGAAATCACTTGAAAAATATAATAGAGTCACTGCTAGGCATAAGATAAGATTCATGAAGAAACAGGCACAAATATAACTGCCTGAAATGAGAGAAAAGATCAATGGATCAGAAGACAAAAGGTAGATCTAGAAATGCTCAAAGTAGCATAAGATCCTTAAGCCAAAGAGAAAAGTTCTAAAGCAGTCCTGGAGAGGCCAGTACAACAGAGTTAAGGAGACTACTAGATACAGTTTAATAACCACGAACACAGTCTTAAATCTTACAACTTAATAAGGTGACCAGACGGTCCGCTTTTGACGGGACAGTCCCAATTTTTGGCATTTTAAAAAAGTCCCGATTTTTGGAAAGAATGCACGACAAGCTAGGGAACGGTCTATTTGGTCCATATAGATCAAATTTTTAATCAAGTACCCCCCCCCGCCACCCTGGTCAGTGGTGTCCTGCTTTAAATCTGGTCACTTTAAGCTTAGATCTAGTACTCATGGGGTATTAACTTTATTTTTGTGAAAACAAAGCAAAAAACAAGGCCCACCTGGGCACAGGTTTTAACCACATTTGGAGTTAAGGAATTGAAGTAACCAAGTGACCAGTGGGGCTCAAAGCAGGGATCTTTATGCTTCAACGAGGTTGACAATCACGCATTAGAATGGACTGCAGGCCTGGGCGATGCTGGGCTGAGAGCGCTGTGTGAGGAGTCAGAGAACTGGTGGTCCAGGCTCAGTCTTCACTTGAGTTCCACCAACTTCTCTCTACTCTGCCTTGTGGTTCTGGAGTTAATGTCTCAACCTTCTCACAAAATGCAGATAATAACGCACACCCCACTCTCAGTGTTCCAAGAATTAAATGCAAACTAATTATAAAAGTAGTTTGAAGCCATGCAGAAAATGTGGGAAACAGTTGAAGTTGGAACAAGATGTCTGGATAGTATTACATCAGTCTTTAAATCCATTTTAAAATGGGAAGGTATGATGACTAGCCAAAGCCACAGTATTTTCATTCAGCTTGTTGTAAGCATGCCAAAGCTGGATAATGAATACAGGAGACTAAAGAAGAATTGTTAGCTTTGAATTATGGGGTTGGTGATAATTTTATGGCAATAAGAAATAGACCAGGGGCTGCCACAAGTATCTACCTTGGAAAAGTACAAACCAGAAGGGTCCTTAGAAGGGAGGATGGTGACATTGTGTCTGACATACTTTGGATAGGTTCACAGGAGAAGGGCATCATGCTTGATAAAGCAGAGGGTCAGCCAAAAAGAGGAAGACCCTTAAGAAGATGGGCGGGCACAGTGGCTGTAACAATGGGCTCAAACATGGCAACAATGATGAGGCTGGCCCAAGGCCAGAGAGAGTTTGGTTCAATTGTACACAGGGTTGCTAAGAGTCAGAACTCAATGGTGCCGAACGGCAATAACAACAGCATGATTACTTAGAGATGCTAGCTAATTAGAGCTTAATGGCTACATTGTGTTTCAGTAAATGCATTTTCAAAAGCATCTTCAAATAGTTGGACTGTGAGCTTTATCACATTCCTCAATTATCCATGCCTTACTGCATTTCTGTAAGATTAATAATTAAATTGGATGCAAGCCAGGTAATAAACTACATGAATTCGTTTGACTTGAATGACATCTCATATTTGGTGGCTCTTTACTCTTTGGGGCTAATTGAATTATAATGGCCTAAGGGACAAATTAATGTGGTGCAGTCTAGTATACCAGGAGGCAGCAGTGCCCGTGGGATGCTTTCGGGGGAACTGGGAAAACCTTAAGATCTTCAAACACACTCACTTTGACGTTCAGACATTTAGATCCCACAATTAGAATGTGATCATTTTGGCTTTAGCCAAATAGGGATATCCCCCTCCTATTAACATATGTTAAGCTTTCTCAGCCCCTTTTCAGGGTATAGAAATGAAGTGGGTTACATTGTATTGTTGTCTCTCTCTAGGGATTATCAATCCCAGAAGTGGATTGGTACTTGGGAACTACTGAGGTGATGTCAAAAAATTGATTGCCTGCTCTAAGGGTAGGGTGAGTCGATTCAATATAGGCACTGGTCAGGTTGGTAGCCACAAAAGAATCATTCACTTACTTATTCTATAAGTATTTATTGCGGGTTGACGGGACCTGGTAGATGCTAGTGTATTTCTATGTAATGTTTCAGTAGTATACATATTGTGACAAGATGAATCAAAATGTAATTTTCTGTTACAAACTCTGAAATGACATAACTACACAGTATGCCATATAATACACATTAACATAATGTACATTTCTAAGTTAATAGATGACCCAATGATCTAATTTTTTATTCCATCTGAAATCTATCGGAGTTGTGTGATCATTAATTCTCTTAGTAAACCTGTTTTCCCTGACAGTGTTACCACCATTTCCCTCATCACTGACCCTTTGATCCTAGGCTTGCGTCCCTATACTCCAGGCCTGTTGGCTGAGTCCCGATCACCGCTCCGTGGAGACCATGGTGTTTTGATGACATACTTACTTCTGCCCAGCCTCTCCTTGGCCTGCACAAGGTCCATACTTATAAGCATACACCAGGCGAGGGATGAAGTCAGATGTTATCGCTATGACGAATGCATTGGTAATGACAGAGAGAATTCCAATGCCTTCAAGAATTCCATACCAAATTCCTATTCAAAGAGAAAGTGTGGTTAGTTCCAGATATAAGAGCAGAAGTAGCAAGAGACAAGTGGAGCAACTAATTTTCATTAGTGATTTCCCTAGGTCCTACCATCTTCCTAAATACATATAGTCCCTGACTTAGGACAGGATTCTGCTGTTACTTCTTTTGTAAGTCTGTTCTGACATATGTTGAATACCTCATTTAGTTTTATTTTGATGGCTTT